TATTCACTAATCGAAGCTGAGAGTTGAATCGACGCAAAAATGATTCCGTTGCGCCTCGTTTTCTTTTTTTTTTTTCCTTTGGTTTGTTTTTTCCGTCGATCTTGTTTTCCGTGCTGAGCACCAATGCTACCGACGTGCCAGGAAGGCAGCTCCCACACCTGGACCCTACCTATCGACCCATCAACTCATGAACCGGGGACCAACGGCTTTACTTCCCATCCGAAGGAAGGCGTGATCAGAGATGTTATGCCTCAGAACATCCCGGCGGCGCCGACTGGGATTGAACCCAGGCCTGCTGGGGTGAGAGGTAATCACGCTTACCACTACACCACCGGCGCCGTTCGCCTCGTTTTCTTAGAAAGAGAATGTAAAAAATGCTATCTCTTTTTTTTCTTCATCGATAGCAGACACGAAGCGACTGCTCCCACCCGTTATAATAGTTTCGGTTGCATTCGGGGGTAAAGCAAAAATCATGAAACTCAATCTCACCACTGGCCGGCGCCGGTGGTGTAGTGGTAAGCGTGACTGCTTTCTAACACCCCGATGGGTCTGGGTTCAATCCCAGCCGAGGTCGGTGGGATTTTTCTGAGGCATAAAAATCTCTGGTCACGTCTTCCTTCGGAAGGGAAGTAAAGCCGTTGGTCCCGGCCCATGTGTGTTGAATGGGTGCGATATCCTACGAAGGTGTGGAAGCTGCCTGCACATTCGATTGCCGTCAATGGATGGCAATCGATGTCCGTCGGTGATTGGCACTAGATTGCGGAACAGAGACCGACGTTAAATAAAGGAAAGAAAGAATCTCACCACTGCTTGGTGAGATTTGGAGATGGTGAGTTTGGTTAGCTTGATATTCCGAGCGTGCAATATCAACCACAGTTGTTTGCTTGTTGATTGTTACGCAAATCAAACGTGATCTTGTTCTTTGGTGAGAATAGATTTTTTTATATAGTTTCATAACACGGGATATAATATTGAATAAGAAATTAAATGTCTAGCCAGCTCCCACACCTTTACCCTACCTATCGACCCATCAACGCATGAACCGGGGACCAACGGTCTCAGAATATCCCGGTGGCGCCGACTGGGATTGAACCCAGGCCTGCTGGGGTGAGAGGTAATTACGCTTACCACTACACCACCGGCGCCAGTCAGAAGAAACAGCCTTGATGAAGCTCGTTCCGCCCGAAAAATGTTTTTCGGAATCATGAATTCATTGGACGTTATGATGATATTTTGTATATGTAAGTTTCAAGAAAACGTTGCAAAGTAGGGGAAATGTTGGCTTCGGCAATACCTTAACCAATTATCGTCAGGGGGTAAACAAAGTCCTAGAGCACTCAAATTTGGCCAATAGTTGCTCTGAAACACAATGTATCCACATGCCAAAATTGAGCTCTCAAGGACGTTGTTTACCCCCTGACGATAATAGGTTAAGGTATTGCCGAAGCCAACTTTTCCCCTATGTGTTCGGCATATAAAACTTGTCAATTCAAGCGTAATTATTCAAATCGACGTAACAAACACCACCAGTTAGTAGGGGAAAGATTCCCCTAACTGAATATGGTGTTTGTTTGCGTACGCGAGTTAGCAGTTAAGGCAAATCGTCGATTGAAGTGATTGTTCATTAAAGCAGATACGTCGATTTGAATAGTTACGCTTGAATTAAGCTTTGAGAAGCCGAAATCAACGATTTTATGATTGCTGAGAACGCATCACTGAGTTCTCCTCACTGAGTACTCCTCACTAAGTAGTCCTTACTGAGTACTCATCACAGAGTACTCCTTACTGAGTACTCATCACTGAGTACTCCTCACTGAGTACTTATCACTGAGTACTCCTCACTGAGTACTCCTCACTGAGTACTCCTCACTGAATACTTCTCACTGAGTACACCTCACTGAGTTCTCCTCACTGAATTTTCCTTACTGATTATAGTACTCCTCACTGAGAACTCCTCAGTGATCATAAAATCTCTGATTGTGACTCTCTGAAACGGAAATTCTTAGGTATGATGTATTAAACACATGTATTGCAATCTCGTCATATAGCTTATAAAAAAACAAAAATAATGAAGAAATAAAGTACAAATAAAGAATTAAAAAAAGAGTCTTTGCTTTAACTAAATTTAAATGCTGCATTATCAAAAAAAAGTAGAAGAGTCTGTGCCTAGGGACACGAACGGAAGCTTGACGTAGGACCGCTAGTGGACGGAATAAATGTGAAGAGCATTTTGTTCTTTAAATTGATCAATTATCAATTATCTCAACTCTTTCCGTTTTTGAATTGAAGGCGTACCAAATTTGTAGTAATTTTTTTCAAAGAGAAAGTTGATTACGAGAATCAATCAAAATCACTTGTACCCCTGCTTCCAAGTTTGGTTACAAGATTACAACTCTGGAGAGCATTTTGTGTGGTCGTTGGGGGCTTGTGGTTCTGAATATGGACAAACAAGCACAGATAAATTCTATTCCAACTCTTTACTGATGTAAGCTTGATGGCCCTGAAAACGGCCATTTATTAAAGAGGACATCCATGGCCACTTACGCTTGGCGTGTTTAGTGTAGGTGACAGCATCACGGACCTCATTTTCCAGGAACACCTTCAGCACACCTCGTAGATCAGACCGGAGATACGTTTGACACCACCACGGCGAGCCAGACGACCGATGGCGGTTATCTCGAAGAACTTTGCGATGACGCTTGGCGCCTCTTTAACCAAGACCTTTTCCGCCTTTACCACGACCAGTCAATTGTTGCTTGTTCCTACTGCTGCTATTGCTGTTCACTACGCCGTCCGAAGCGAAAATGAGCTAATGCCATACAGCAACGCTCTTTTATATCTTTTCAGGTTAAAGCAGAATGATGTGCGACCAAGTGGTATAAAAGCTACAAAGACTCCTCCCATTATGAGTAGTTTGCTATCAAGTAGCAACACTGACTCTTTTCCTTTTGCGTACACGGCGAATGAGAACGACCCAAATTTGAGTTTAGTTCACTCATAATCACCAAAAGTGTAGGATCTCAGCGATGAGTAAATTTGTCTCATGGTATCCTGTGGAAAACCTAAAATATCTGCCAGAAAATGAGGAAATTGACGAAAATTTGATTGAGTCTCGGGGTAGTACCAATCGACTGGGTGAATCCAATCTTTACTTTTCTCAAATTCGGGAAATTTTCCCTGGAAAATCCTGGAAAAACTTGGGAAAACATGAGGCAAATTTACTCATCGCTGAGTTCCTGCACTTTATTTCTTATTTATGAGATAACTTAACTCAAATTTGTGTCAATCTCATTCGCCGTCATATCACCTTGAAAGATATCGGCGCCGGTGGTTATCGTGATTACCTCTCATCTTAGCAGGCCTGGGTTCAATGTCAGTCGCACCGGCATATTCTGAGGCATAACATATCTGATCCCACCTTCCGGCGGGAAGTAAAGCCGTTGATTCCCTGTTCATGAGTTGATGGGTCGATATGTAGGGTCCAGGTGTGCGAGCTGCCTCCCTGGCGTCAGTAGCATTGGAACTCAGTACGGAAAACAAATCTCGCGTTACTTTTCAATAGGTCCTACCTACATTGGTCGATTCTCTTAATCGACACTCTCTTTCGTAAATAACTCGGCTTCACAATTGTTTCCTGCCGTCTTCGTTGAATTAGATGCTAGATTTTTGCTTCTTCCATCGAAAATATCCGTCCAAATAATTTGTACCCCTGCTTCCAGTTTGATTACATGAGCATTTTGTGTGGTCGTTGGTTCTGAATATGGACAAACAGGCAGATGAATTCTATTCCTACTCTTTACTGTAATAAGCTTGGTGGCCCTGAAAAGAGTCGTTTTGTTGCCAAAGTTGGTGATGATTTCTGTGGATCAACATTAGAAAAGGGCCCATCAGCATTTGTAAACAAACCGTTCCAAAGCCCTTTACTCACAAAACGAAGGCCACCCACGCAAACCAACACCATCATCGGATAGGGGAAACTTCTACCTACACGATGATGGTGTTGGTTAGTGTGGGAAGCCTTCGATTTGTGAGAAATGGGCTTTGGAACGGTTTGTTTACAAATGCTAATGGGCCCTTTTCTATTGTTGATCCAGATTTAACCTCCGAAACCAAACAGAGTGCGTCTCTGTCACTTCAAAACGTAGACGACATCCATGGCCGCTCACGCTTGGCGTGTTTAGTGTAGGTGACAGCATCACGGATCCCATTTTTCAGGAACACCTTCATCACACCTCGTAAATCAGACCGCAGATACGTCAGACACCGCCACGGCGAGCCAGACGACGGATGATGGTTATCTCGAAGAATTTGCGTTTGGTTCTGAATATGGCGATGAGTGTGCAAAATATTACGCAATTCCATCCTCCCTATTCGCACGCGCCCGAGGATCGGAGGCGAATGCCACTTCGACTTGTTTCGTCTACTTACTACTCTCTGACGACTGTGCTGGGGAAGCAGCATATGCATGTAGGTAATTGGTGGATTTGTTAGTTAATTCGACGCTTTTGGACAATGCTGGAAATTTACCAGTTTTTCGATAGTGTCTTGTTAAAAATCAACATTCGGGAGCATTGTTATCGATGCGTAGCCATATTTATGATCGATTGGTGATAAAATTATTGGAATTGGACCAGGGTCAGCTGAGTTATTAACGTTCAAAATCTTTCTTAATTTGTTACATGTTCCAATTTCGGTTGTCACAAAGTGTACCCCCATATAGAAATCAAAGACGTAGTCCTACGTCAAAAAAGGATCATGCTATTCATTTGAAAGGGGCCCATAATGATATAATCCCATATTAGTAAACAAGTCATATGTTAACCGAAATTAGTGGTCAGTATACAAGCATAAAATTATATTACATGCCGGAAGCATCACTAGGGAACCATGGGAAAAAAGGGGAAAGTGCTAATGTAGCACATCATCAAATGCAAAAAGTTACTCACTCATGTTCAGTGATGTTAGTATGTACTAGTAATAAATTTCCGCCCCAAACCTACCCTTTCTATTAAACACTGCAAATGTTCGTTATCGGCGAAGCGGTAAATGTAAACTGCCATCACAAAGCCACCGAGATGCAACATGGCCGGAATTATGTAAATGAATATCATTTCACCGGTATTGAGCATTATTGTCTTCATAATCGTGCCGGCAGCTGTGGTAACGGTTGCAAAACCCAGATTCGGAATCGGTGGCGTGGTTGTTGGTGGTCTGATGGGAAACTGATCCGGCTGCTTGTCAATGTTTATGAATGTGGTGGGTGGATTCATCGCCAGGAAACCACGGTCACGTCTAAAATAAAATTTGAAAAAAAAAAATGTGTCCAATTAGTTTGATTTTGGTTCAACGCACAATTGGCTTAACCAAAGGAAATCCTTATTTGAACGAAGCATTTCCGAAATCGAAGGATACACTACTTGTATCGAGAATGATGCCACAAGCTACCTCCAGTTGTGCTTGAAAGTACAAATTGATACAGGACTAGGATTATATAGTGAGATGAGAAATTGGGTTTTGCGAGCGAGATCATCCTTAAATAAGGTTGTGGATTGGTCGGATTTTGGACAGCTACGATGGGATGCTTCTCCGCAGTGTATGTAGTTGCATGGGAAATCATTGCACGACACATACAGAAGCGGGAAAATCGTCGGACGATGAGTGGATAGTGTCGCCTGGTGACGCTGCTCACTGTCCGAAAAATCCAAAACTGAATATGGACGATGGTCCAGCGAGCAAGAAAATGCCACTCACGCTCGCTGCGAGTTTTCCGAGTCAAAGGGAAAATAATACACCGCTCTCGGAAAAATAACAACAGAAAGCTTATACCATAGGAAACGAGATAAGCCGGTGCTGGTTGAGCTGCAATATTTTTTATTCAAATTCGGTCATAAATATTAATAATCCCTTTATTATTTTAATAAAGTGGCTGTTTAAAACCATATATTTATACTTGCGTGCTCATACTGCTCATGTGGAGTGAAGAGTTTTATTTTCTGGTGATTATGTTGGTTGACAAGCGATTCAGTAGTAGGTCGGTTCTGGTGGATGACGATGGTTTTCGTTGACTGAAAAACTTTAGGCTGATTCTTCGCCGTTCTTATAGCAAGGTTTTAATTTTTAATTTGAAAATTGATTTTTCCAGCTACGTTAAAGCCTGCGTCACAGATACATTAATTCACCATTTATATGTTATAGGTATAAAGTAGCCTTTGGGGTTATGATATAGGGAAGACACTTCTATTGTTGCGGTACGTTAGAAGCGTTAGATTCTTATTGTTGTGAATAGAGGTCTCCAGACTTAGCAAAAGGAACCTAACTCTGCTATCGTACTGCAACAATAGGAGTGTTTCCCCTTGTCCTAACAGGCAATAGGAACTGAAGCCCTTTGCGGTGCTTCTGTAATGAGGATAGTGCAGTTCATATGTATATTAGACTGATGCAAATTTTGACATTTTCGCTCCACAGTGCTCAAACGGTTCCATATCGGGTCCTGATTAGTCTCCCAAAATTTGAACTCATTCGATAAGAAACTGACTTGGCACAAACCATTTGAAGTTTATATGGAAATTACTATAGGAAAACCAAATGTTTTGTTCATATCCATCTAACAATTTACCATATCGCTCTGCTTTAAAAAATGATAACTGAGCTCGTAGAAAATTTTCTCAGCTACAACTTTGTCCTTAACCAGTTTTCAATATAATGTAAGCATCAAAAGTTATCAATAATTCAAGCCACTAATGTCTTACGATTATGCTCAATCAACTGTTCAGCAGGCAACATTGGTGTTTCTGGCGCTTGGAATAGAGCACAAAAATCATGGCTACTATGTCACACTGCAAGATACAGTGTTGCTCACAAAACAGCTGCTTGATCATGCCATAAGATTATCAATCTCTTAAACAATTAATAACTATTTTATTTGACGTTTGGCTCAACAACTATATTCTGCTAAGTTGAAGCTGAGAAAATTTTCCATAAGTATAGCTTTTGAATTTTTGAACAGTGCAATATGGAAAAAAGGTAAGAAGACAATGAACAAAAAGTTTTGATTTCCCATAGTAATTTCCATATAAACTTCAAATGGTTTGTGCCAAGTCAGTTTCTTTGCAAATGAGTTCAAATTTTGGGAGACTAATCAGGACCCGATTTGGAACCGTATGAGCACTGTGGAGCGAAAATGTCAAAATTTGCATCAGTCTAATGTATATGCAATCATTTAACAATGCTGATTACTGGTTTGCAGGCATTAATAGTGCTGATTGACTTTTTCTTCTTATACTACCAGTGAAGAATTGATGCTGACTCAAGGTTTTAAACCAGTACTGGCAACTATTATGTGATAATAACAAACCTGTGTAATGAAAATATCAACATCCCATATCTCGGGCTTTTTTGTGCAGAAAATCAAACCATATTTGACTAAATTTGTAGGAATTATTTTAAAATTCTTCTTTTCCAGAAATTCCTTGATACCCCTTATTATATCCTTGGAATTCTTCTTGCATTCCTCTCCAAATTCTTATCAAAAGTCCTTAGAAACATACTTCAGAACTCGATTGAAATTACCCAAAATTATGTTCCCTTGAAACTCCCCACAGATTTAATTTGGGAATTTGTATATAATTCCCTTTGGAAATATCTTCCTTCTTCAGAAATCCAAATAATTTCCCCTCAGAAATTTACCTTGCTCAGAAAACCCGCGTATCATTCTTTGTTCCTTGAAATTCAACATCATTTGTTTGACTTGAAATTGCTCTCGGAATTTCCTTGAAATAATTTTAGAAATATTTTCAGAATTCTCTTCAAATATCAGAATTCCAATCCAATGATGAGGAGAATTTGAAAGGAATGCATGAGATACTTTCTAAAGATATGAAGATAATCTCGAGGGAATTTAAAGGAAATTGAAAGGATTAGTTTAGCTGAATTCCAAGAAGATTATCTGATCCTGCCAATTTTTTTGAAACTTTACCCAGAAACTCTACGGATTCTCCTGATAATAAGCTGAGAAATAATCTAATGGGTTTCATTCCATTTCTCCCCTTAATTAGATTGTAATTCTCGTCAAATCAACTCAGAGCACTTCGGAAGTCCCTTGAAACAATTATTCGAAACCCTTCGAAGAATCTCTAAATAATTTATTTGGAATTTTCCTTATACTTCCTTAAGAATTCTTAAACTCTTTCTTCAGAAATCTCTGTAAGAAGCCCTCAGAGATTCTCTAAGCTATTCTCTTCAGAAGACCCCTATTTCTAGTCCATTGATTTTGATTCCCTTGCAAGTCTTCTAAAAAATGCCATGTTTTGACGTAGGACTACGGCTTTCGGTAAGGGTGCCGATCCAGGGAAATGCAACGAAAGTTGGTCAGACATTAAATGCTAATAACTTGGCCAATAATCAATGGATTTTGATGATTTGTATGTCGATCAATTTGGCAGTCTTATAAGATTTGTGTGGTATTTCATTCATTATAAATGTTAAATATTGAAATAGCTAAAAATTAAGAAATGTGGAAACATTCAAATTTCTCATACATTTTCTTCGACCGTAAGCCACCAGAAAGTTGGTGCCTAACAACACAATCATTCAACGTTACACGTTGGAAGGGTCGACCTCGAACTTGTTCGCTGCAGCGTGGACATCGTATTGCGTTCGTAACTCAGAGAGTGAATAAATTTTACTCAGTTGTGAGTCACTTTTACTCATTCGTATGAAACAAATTCTTAAAGCAACCTGCGCTTTAAGATTTTTTATATGAATGACGCATGAGTAACTTACGATTTGAAAAAAAATCCAGGTGAATCAGTAAAAGATACTCTTGCTCTGAGTAATATTCGTTTTCATTGTATTTAGCTGGCCATCTCGGCTAGAAATTGGATATTGGATAGTCAAGCTCAGCGTGTAATTTGCATCAAATTCCATGATTTAATTTCACAGCATGGTCAGAAAGGAGGTTTCTGTATTCAGTGAAGTTATTCGGATGGACAATACCTATTGCATGATTGGCCTCTTAGCCCTGAATTCACTCACCATGCAGCGCTAGTAACATTTGATTCAAAAGGCTTGCTTACCCGAGCAAAGTCGGTTAACAAAATGAAAGCAAATCGATATTAAAGTTTGCAGTTCCTATCATAATGAAAACTCATTTTGATTTCAATTGTCGCGTCCTAAGTCTGATATCATATTGTGCTTTCATTATGCAGTTAAAACTTTTTAAATGAAAGCAACTTAACTTGAAGTTTTGCTGTTAACGTCTTGTTTAAAATTTAATTTAAGTTCATCTGTCGTTTATGTCTAATGATTATTGTTTGTTTGTTTTGTTTAACACATTTTAGGTCATTCATGACTTGCCCGGGGTGAAATTTGAGCTTAACTCTGTCAGCGTGAGAAGCATGGATACTAACCATTTACGCCATGCCCGTATTCAGTTAAACATTATGAATGCAAAATCAGTAATCAAATTGATTTCATTGAAAGTAAGATTAGTTTTCCATTTGATTCAACAGTGTAAAAGTTTGCTCTCATTTTTGCTGTGTTAACCGTTAAGTCAACCAAAATGAGATCATCTGGAGTATTCAAAATAAGTTACATCATAACAGCAAATTTTGATTTCAATTTGATCTCCAGCTTTGCTCGGGTAAGCAGTCTATATTCACTGAAAACGAATCTTATTCAGAAAGTGAGTCTCTTTTACGTAGGTTACTCATGCGCTGAGTGACCAACGCTTTTAGAAATGTATCCTTACGAATGTACAAATGTTACTCACTCTCTGAGTTAGATTCGTTTTCTGTGTTTTGACTAGATAGGAGATTGCTATATCTAGTAATATTATTCAGATGGATAAGACCTATTGTATACTGGACACTGGGTGACCAGTGAATCGGGAAATCGGAAAATAGCCGGAAATTCTAAATCACCGGGAAAAGTCCGTGAATTTCGGTGATGGCAAAAATATACTTCGTCCTCACTTTGGAAAATTATATTCTTCTTAACTACTATATTTTCTGGATACAATCACTTTGAAGAATTAAGAGGAAATTTAAGAATGAACTATAGAGATAATAATGTAAGATACAAATTCCAATGGAGTTTTTGGAAGTATTTTTATAGAGTTTTGACTACAACGCCAAGTAAATTGTTTAATTTCAAAGTAGAATTATTAGGTGGTACTGTGTAAAATAAAATGACGATTGTAAAGACGATTACAGGTTAATTTCTAATGAACATTCTATATAAATTTCGAGAAGACTGTAAAGAGAGTTCTTATGAGAACTTCAAAGAAATTCCAA